ATTCAGGAAACATATGAGAGCAGGAGAAGATGATGAGGGGTTAATGGAGGTTGATGTCTCAGAAGTTTCTTCCCTGACATCCTTGGCTATTAAGCAAAGATATGACGTATCTTCCTCATCAGAGGATGATTCATCAGACGAATCAGCCCAATCATGTTCTTTAGCAATAAGACCTTTGGCCTTTCAGTAAAAACTCTTCATCTTCTTATACTTCTCCTTCAGCTTAAAATATATATCGTCTTTGGTTCTGAAGGAGGATGGGGTTTTCGAAGATGGAATCACATGCTTTTTTGACCTGCACTCACATGCAAAGTGACCTTTACGGTGACAATTGTAGCAAACCGCTGAAGCCTTGTCAATAGTATCTGACTTTGGCTTTTCTTTAAAGGTCGGCGTGGGAGATCTGCGGAAATTATTTTTCCTAACGAATCTTCTAAAATACTTAGTTAGAAGCACCAGTGATTCATCAAAGTCTGCAAGGTCAGATTCTAATAAGTCCTCAGAGTTAGTAGAGTCTAACTCCGTTATAGAAACAGAAGAAGAAAAAGGAATAAAAGAAGAAGAAGATGGGAGTTCAACGGAAGAATATTTAGAGATCAAAACTAGCGGAGAGTTTTTAATGTCTCTCGAATCTTATTTTTAGATTCTTGTTCAGTTGTCGAGACTTCTCGTGATTAAGTAGTATCCCATATAAATAACTGAGAGAGAAGGAGGACATATCGTTGGACACCTTGAGACACATAGAATATGTATCCCAGGATTCTGGTAAACATTCCAGAAACTTCGTCAAAGTCTTAGAGTTGGAATATTCTCTGCCAATCGTTCTTAAATCAATAAAAAGACTAATAACCCTTTGATGTACTACAGACAATGGTTCAGTCTTTCCACAAAGAAAGCTTTCATATTGTCTTACTACATTTATCTTCCTCGATTCTTGTACCTGAGAGGTACCTTCATATTGAACACAGAGAGTGTCCCACATGGTTTTCGAGGTCCTAAGTTTCATGACAGAGTGATAGACCTCGTCAGGAAGAGACATGGGTATTATAGATCTCACACGAGTATCTATAGCAATCTTCCTCTTGTCTTTATCCCTCCACTGGTGAGGGAGCTTAGGAATCCGTCGTTCAGGAATCGTGGCAATCGTAGCTGTTTCAGGAACAACCGAAGATATAGCATATGGAACATAAGGTCCTTTTTCTATATAATGTGGGATCACATGATCCACACCTTCCAAGAAAAGAGACATTCGATTTTTCCAGAAATTAAAGTTGTCTATAATAAATCGGGAAGGTTTGGCAAGAGAGCCATTATCGTGAAAGTTTGTGCTTATGTTTTACAAAGCCATTTGAAAAGCAATAAATTATCTAGAGAAAGAGCGATGATAAAATGCAGATAAACAACTAAACAAGTCGAGAAGAAAACACTACTCTGATACAACTTGTTGGTCACAGCCGGGTCTACAAGAGTTTTACACGAACAGTTTGAAGAAGGGGAGATGAATACAAACACAGAAAACATTCGTATTCAAAAATATATATTGAGATAGAAAGATAAATACAGGTGGTTTTTGTAGATTGTTTGCGGAAATAGAAAAGATAAAGATAACCTATCTAAAACAATCTAAGTTTACACACAGATATACTTAAAAAAATAGCAAAGATTTGCTGAAAGGATAAAGACAGAAAGATGTTCTTCTTGGGTAAGAACTTTAGAATTATTGAGAGGGATTCTAACTTCCTTGAAGATAAGCGTAAGTGTTTTTATTGATGTGTGCATATATATGTTTGTGTTATCTACAAGGAGAGAGCACTCATCTATTTATACCAATTGCATTAAATGCACATCAGAAGGGTTTGAACACGTGTCAAGCATTAGGAGGAAAGTTTGTCCTTTGCTACAGTGAATAGTACAATTATCTATTCATGAGCAGATATCCTTTCGTGGAGTTGGTAGGCTCTAGAGTCGACTAGTCGGCTCCATGCAGTACTATACTATAGAAATGGTATGGGTTTATCCTTTGTGTGTGGATAGACAAGACAAAAACAGTCTTGCACAACAAGATTATTTTGGTCTCTGAATGCTGGAATAACACTGAATGTCTCTTCAGCATTCCCTGAGGCTTGAGGAGTCTTCACACATATGTTGACCAGGTTGTACACTGAATACCGCTTCAGGTCACGAACGCGCCAGTCACTAATCTTCAGTTTCAGTCTTCGACTTTCACTAAAGGTTATTTGGTGTGAGTTTTGTCTTCTTGAAGTATCGCTGTCGCTGTAGGATTGCAATACATGTTTCAGCGATCACTGAACAGACTTAGTGATGATCGCTAGAACTGAAATAGTTGAAACATAATACTTCGAAAGGTAAAAGAGATTATCATCAAATCATTGAGATAGAGGATCAACAAAAAGCATCACTGAAGGTTTTCTCTTTCACTGATCAATGTTTAAAAAGATTTACTTTTCTTCAGTGATTCTTCTTATCACTGAACCATTTCAAAAACCTTTGATGTTCTTAAGAATGTTGTTTTTGAATATATTAAAACTTTTTGTTTTAGAATAAATGGAAAATGAAACGTTTTATGACATCATTTTTATTTAAATGATACGATTTTTTTGAGACGCGCATACCATTCTGACACACGACCCCTCAAAATTCGATCAAATCGTGGATGAGAACGCGTTACTTTCTTCATCATTGCACCACTTTTAAGTCGTATTTTTCTCTCTCCTATTTCCATTTCTCTCTTCTCCAACCTATTAATATGAGACTTCTCCTCTCATTTTTGCCTTACACTTTCAAATATTTTTATAGAACCTCTGCCTCAAAATCATTTGCAGGCTAGAACTAAAGAACACTCAAACCCTTCAACCTTCTTCTTTTAAGTCTCACTGGTTGATAACTCTTCTTTCTACTTGATATGTTCTTTATCTTCTAAGAAACTAATATTTAAGTTACTTAAGATCTTGTTGTCTTAAAAGACCAACATATAGATTATTAACACGTTATCTTACTTGGTTATAATCTAAAGTTTTTATACACTTACTCTTCTTGAAAAACCCTAATATTTTTTTGTGGATTTTTCAAAAGAAGTTTTATTGTTTCAAAACATAATAGCTCACTACTATATCTTGGATTTCTAACATATATGTTATTTCTTATTTATAACAAAAATGTCTGCCAAGAACGTGAACTTCTCGATTGACGATGTGTCTTTCATGCCCAATAATCATGTGGCGCTATTAGACATTCCGGCCAACAAGTCCTACTACGAGGAAGCTGCTACTTTCCTGAAGAACTCTCTTATCTCCTTTGCTATCTCCCATGAACCCATCATGGTGAAGGAAGTTCTTCAGCAGTTCTGGCTTATTGCTGAAGTAGTTCACAATATTGACAAGACTGGTCAACAGGTGGAGAAAATCTCCATCACCTTTAACAGGATAATTGTCAGTTTCGGCGTTGCCACCCAAAGGACCACTCTCCGTCTACCAAATGGCCCTATGCCAGTGAACGTTCCACTATAGATATCATCTCCTGTTTGGATGATATTGGCTATGCCTAGCCATCAAAGAAGATTCCAGCGATCCCCTCAAGTCGCTTACAAAAATTAAGAAGAACCGCATGTCTGCGGTATGGCAGTTCTTCTTTTCCCATTTCATCAAATGTATAGGAGACAAAACTGGTGGACAGGATCAAGCGTCTAGAGTTGTGTTGAACGTTGGCGTCTCTGTGATTCGCCAAAGGCCAATCAACTTTGCCGACATGATATTTGAAGATCTGATGCTGAAGCTGAACAAGCGCCAGAGGGAGAAGGTAGTACCTTACACCAGGTTCTTATCCATGGTGTTTGCTAAGATATTTCGCAACAAGTACTCCACAGAAGGCAACCTGCCCATCTACAAGCTTGGTTTCAGAATCTTAGATCATAAGCTGAAGACTGAAGACGTTGCATTCTCCCCCCCTTATGTCTGCATATCCTTCCTCAGCTTCTCCAACCGTGTAGGTATGTCCTTCTTCCCTTGCTCAGGTGGTCAAGACTAAGAAAAACCCCCAATGTCTATCCCAACCACCACCTCCCTCTATTCTAAAAGAACCTCCTCATAAACCACACTTGGTTCTTCATCGTGGGCCAAGAAAGCCAAAAGGGGGATAACAACATCTCTGGCTATTACCTCTCAAAAGGTTCCAGCTATTGAAACCAGTCTTAACCCCGAGGCACCTTCATCTTTATCTCTTCCAATCTCTTCAGTGATTTTTATAGTCACTATCGTACCTATGGCTCCTATCCCAACCACCTCAATGACCAAAATCACTAATGGTATGAATATCAGTATAGCCACTACTGAACACCCACTTCTACCATTCTTAGCCATATTCTCCTTTCCTCCTCCTTTGGTCTCTACATGTGCTTATGACTAATCAGTGATTGTCCTCGATGATGATGAAGCACACCCTACAGGACCTGAGGTTGCACCTCTCGAAACACTACAGTCAATGGAAGCCTATCCTCTTGAAGTCATAGAGAACCAGTATCAATCCTTCAGATGGTACTGATAAACCCTCTGGTAATCTTCCAACCCACCCTTTCATTTCTTCTAACACCGAGCTATCTTATGCTCAACCATCTTCTTTTTTAGATCCTTGCGATAAAGGAATGCCAGCCATGGAAGAAGAATAAAACATGGCCGATGACGTGAAGATTCTACTTCCAACCATAGACACTGTCTTAATAAAAATGGATGAAGTCCATAAAGGCATGCCTCTTAGAGATGATGTTTCCTCTAACCTCTCAGCTGTCAAAGCTGACGTCAATGATGTGAATGAACAACTTTCTAAGGTGCAAGCTGCTGTACGCACCGACGTTGAGGATATCTCGGCTCTCAACAACAAAGCCGATGAAGCAAATGCTCAACTTTTCCAGGCATGGTGAGTTGTTGTAGCAAATACTAGAGCTTCTTCAATGTCCAGTATCATATCCTACACCCTCCTTCATAGCAATGGATCGCCTCTCATTGAATGAAGATCTCGAAGTCGGTCTTCTTCAAGCTAAATCGCTGACCATGCTTGAACAGCGAATGGACATCATAGCACTAAGTTATGATAACCTCTTCTCTCGTCAAGCTAATGAGAAAGAGGCGAGAAAGATTTGGATGCTGCTGCTACTGCTGTCCTTACAACTGAAACTGAAGTTGATGCTCAAAGAGCTGAATCTAATGAAGCTGAGGTTATTGATGATACCATCACTTCCCATGAAGCTAATGGAGCTGAGGTTGTTGATGATGTCGTCAGATATGATGTTGAAGCTCATGACAAAGACTATCCTATCGCCCCTACAGCAGATGCAGGTGATGAGGAAGATGAAGATGAACACGATGATGATGAAGATGAGGATGACTCTCCATCCCTTCCTAACACTGGAAAGGATCTTGATGGTGATGATGATGAAGACGAAGATAACGACGACTTCACGATTCAGTACCACAAACCTGCCAGTGATCTAAAAGGATTCTCTCTCAAGGATTCTTCATCCTAGGTGGAGAAAGGGAAAGAAAAAGAGGAGACTTCGACAAAGAACTAGAATACCGCCTCAAAATATAATGGTATTGCTGAAGAAGGAAATCTCAAAGTTTTCTTTAAACCTTTCGTGCCTCAAGAGACTGAATCCTCCAAGTTTGCAATAGTGACTTCCTTTTGTCAACTCTCTTCTTCTATCCCTTCTACTACTTGTGGTCGACTAGAGGAATGGGTACCTGAAATCCCAACCTCTAGTGTTCCTAGGGACCAAAAGATGACTCAGCTTAAGGAGTCACTCGACCAAACTAGAGTAAAAATTCCTATTCGTACCTCTAGTTGTGGTGAGTTTGACGTCCTTACTGAAGCTGAAGGAATCATAGAACTCAAGGCTGGGGAAGAACTTAATCTTCAACGAAAATAGACTAAGGATAGCCTAAAGTTGGCCATGTCTCTTGCTGCTCAAGTTCTTCCAAAGAAATCATCTAAGAAGATGGTGAATGTTGTCAAGGCCCAAGCTAAGTTGCTTCCAATTACAGAAGCTGATCGTGAAAAGGCAATGAAGCTGAACGACCGAGACAAAAAATGGAGTGAAGATCATTTGAACAAGAGAGTAAGTCCTCATATCATCTCAAACGTCACAATCAATGGACGAATGAAAGATTGTGGACTTCTCATCTCCATGCTCATCACTAGAGACAACCTTGAAGCTGTCATAGAGTATCCTTCCTACCTTGGACAATACAGCTACAATGAATAGCTAGAAATCCGCTAAGCCATTCAGCGCTCAAAGTCAAGGCACAAGCCAGTAATTGAAGACATCCTCAGCGATATGATAAAGAATATGTCCAACTTAGTTGTTGTACCTACAAAGCCATCATTGAAGAAAGGTGGAAGAAGAAAACCTTCAGATCCTAACGATGGACCAACTTGGAGGAATGAACATGAAACAAAGTTCTCCTTCGACAAAGTCCTGAAGAATTCGAAGAAGCCAAACATCTCCATGCTGAACCTCTCTTTGCCAACGAAGGGTCCTTACATACCCAACACTATACATATAAAGCCCGACTTTGGATTTATATTCTTTGACTATGAAGGCGATCACAGCTTTCAGAGAGTGTCTGTGTTTAATCTTTGTTCTATAGAACATCTTGAATATCTAAGATATTGTTTGGACAATGATAGTTATGGTGAAATGATAGACCACAGGATCAGAAAATAATTTCTACGTCGAAAGATGCTTGGAGAAGAAGTACCTGGTTACATCGACTTCAGCGACTTAGATTAGTTATAAATTTATGTCTTGTAAATTTTATCCTTCATCGTAAGTCTTATCTTTCTATGTCTTTTGTTTCAATGTACAACTTATATATAATAAGTCTATAATATATTGACTGAAACACTTGTAATTCTTCTTTGATTATTATAAGTATTTCATCAACCTCACTGAAAAAGATCCCGGAAAAAGTTAATAGGGACATATGTCTATGAGTTCCAGTATGCTCTTACAGTCACTGACAATATTCAATCAGTGAACATGCTTTCAATTTTAGTTTCCCTTCTTGTAATTTTTCTTAAACATGTAACTTAAGAAAACTTATATAGTAAAAACTATATCACTGAAAAAGATCTCAAAATAGTTAAAAGGGACATTTACTTTATCTGTAATTTTTCCTTACTATTAAACCTTAAGGCAATTTTCTTTATGTTGCTTTGTCAACATCAAATAGGGGAGATTATTGATCCTCTCTCTCATTGATTTGATGATAATCGCTTTTACCTTTCAAAATATTATTGTTTATGTTTTTTTAGTTCCGACGATCATCACTGAGTCTGTTCAGTAACCACTGAAATACGCATTGTAATCCTACAGCGACAGCGATACTTCAAGAAGACAAAACTCACACCCAAGAACCTTCAGTGAATATCAAAGACTGAATCTGAAGATTAGTGACTTGCACGTTTGTGATCTAAAGCGGTATTCAGTGATTACAACCTGGTCAACATATGTGTGAAGACTGCACAAGCCTCAGTGAATGCTTAAGAGACCTCTAGCGTTATTCGAGCATTCAACGATCAAATAAAGCTTGCCGTGCACGATTGTTTTTTTTCTTGTCCTTCCACACACAAAGGATTAACCCATATCTTTTCAAGAGTATAGTACTATACGAGGCCGACTAGCCGACTGTATTGCCCACCAACTCCATGAAAGGATATGTGCTCATGACTAGACAATAGTACTATTCACTATTCCAAAGGACAAGCTTTCCTCTTGAGGTGTGTTTAAACCTTCTGATTTGTATTTAATGCAATGGGTTTAATAGCTCAGTGCTCTCCTCATGCACTACACATCTCTACATCATACAAAAGAATACATAAGCTTATCTTCAAGAAAGTTAGAATTTCTCTCTAAATTCTAAAGTTCTTACCCAAGAAGAACATCTTTCTATCTTTATCTTTTCGGCATATTTCTTCTATATTTGCTAAGTATATTTGTGTGTAATCTTCATTGTTTTTAGATAGGTTATCTTTACCTTTTCTATTTCCGTAAAAATCAATAAAAATATGTATTGATCCTTTTATCTCAATATATGTTTTCAAATACAAAACTTTTCTGTGTTTGTATTCATCCCCCCCTTTACAAACAATTCCTCTAAACTCTTTTAGACCCAGCTGGGACCAACAGAATAAATAAGAGCTTTAAAATCTTGGTCCATGATATTTTATTGGTGCAAACCATGTCATTTGGGGCATCAATGTCGCCCATAATTCCATGGTTCTCGGGGTAGAAATCTCACGTATTCCAATACTGTTGGATATTTCGTTGTCTGATGAGGTCAATGTCGGCTGTAATACACATTTTTGGAGGAACTCAACGAGGACGGAAAACCTATCTTAAAAAATTTGAGGACGAAGGTCGATGTGATGGTTGTTGGGTTTGATCGGGAAGAAGACGAGTGCACGGCTGTTGGCCCCGGTGGACTGAACTTGCTCTTGTTTTGGTTGGAATCATGCGAGGCTGAGGAGGATGATCCCATTGCTGGTTAGAGGGAGTTGCAAGTTTGTTCTTAGTTCATTAACAAGTTATGGAAGCGTAAAAGATAACAATGGTGGTGGGGAGGGGTTTGAAAAAGGAATAAACTAATGTTTGGGTTTTTGGTTTTGGCGGTTGACAATTGGTGAAAGGTGAAAAGGTGATCGTGAGCCGTATATACTGCTCACGATCATCATGGTTGTTAGAAAAAGGTGGGACACGTGTCGTTAGGTGGTTTGGAGGAGGTGGTAATATGGAGAGGTTTTTATGGGAAGAGGCGAGGGTACAGTCTGTGACCATTTGAAAGGTGACGTTTGGGATTAAATGATTTACAAGGATAATTTTAAATCAAAAAGGATAATATTTTTTTAAAAGAATATCCAAAAAGAAAATTCTTAAAAAAATTCAAAAGGATATACCCAAAAAACAATTCAAAATCCCAATTGAATGTCACACCCCGCTAAAACGGAAACACGAGATGTAACAGGTAAGCGAGTCACAGTAACAATTAATAAATAACACCTTTCAAATTTTACAAAATAAAACAAGTTTAACATCAATAACCAAAATGGAATAGTGTACTTCTTATACAAAACTTCAAACGCGAACTTAATCGATCTTGCCACAAATATGCTCCCAAAAACTTTATTTCTTACTTAAATCCTGAAAAGCATGAAATATAAAACAAGGTCAACTACAAAGAGTTGGTGAGTTCACGGGTTTTCATATGCACAAAACATTACAATGCATAAATCATTTATTTGCAAACATATACATAAACGTTTGCACTTAATAAATGTAAATCTACCACGATGCTTAACTTGAGACGCTACTGAGCCTTACCAGACCAATGTGCCCCATTATTTTACGAACGACCATAAGTAGCCTATACACTTACTTAGGTCCCACAATTTGTAGTAGTACTAATTCAGCGGTGGTCCAAATTCCCCATGATTAGACCAATAAAACATAGGTAATGTGCACCCCTTTCTAGGTGGGACTGTCAACACAATAGCGGCTATCCACAATACCACGGCCCGGGGACGTGCCCGAGTTAACAAGTAGCGTTTACGGACGGGGACTTTATTTGGAAACATACTCCCAAGTACATCAATTTAGCATTTATTTCATAGTGCAAAAACAGTCAATATTTCATGACATAAAAAACTTGACTAAACATTTCTTTAGTCCGATGGTTTCAAACAAAGCTTGACTAAACAGTTCTTTAGTCCAATGGTTAAATAAATAAACAATATAGTTTGCTTAATCTCATGCTTTTCCCCCAGATAAATAGGAAAAAGCATTAAAAAGTGGGGTCGTGAAAACTCACAGGTTTGATGATGAATATCCAAGAAGATGGCGTCAGAAGCTCTCAACGTCCGCCCTACCATCCTAAACAGACCAACATCCAGTATTCAGTTTACCTATGGGTTTTTGACAAGGATAAAGCCAATTGCATCCTATCTAATGCCATCGGATTTTCATGAAATAAAGTTGATATTTTATTATTTATTCTAAAAATAGCCCAAAAATTATATATATTAAAAGAAATCAAAATCCTTTAAACAAAAGCTGATTTTTGGACAGATTATAAATTATGTTCCAGGTATAATTTGGGTTTCACAAATCACTATAAATAGGAACCTTCCAAAAGTCATTTTATGTCCAACTTTTACATCATTCAAAATAATGAGATCA